TTCGGGGCATTGCAGTAAGAACGCGTACCTGCCGCAGATGCACACGCTGAGGGCCTGAGGACAGGAACACAGGGCTGCTGGGAATCTAACAGGTCTCTCTCGAGAGTGGTGCTGGGACTCTGGGGACGAGGCAGCAGAAAGTTTCCAGGGGCCAGAAATGCCAGGGAGCCCCCTCCTCGGGAGACCCCGGGCTTACCCAGATCTGGAGCTTCCACGTGAGGTGGAGTCGAACCACAAGATGGAGCCAAACCACAAACCTTCGGCGGCGAAACCCACGGGGAGGAGAGGCGGGGACCGGAAGTGAATCCGCTCGTCCACGCGCAGGAGTTCTTACTTGCCGGCGGCTTTCCAGCAGCAGAGGAGAAAGGGACGCCTGAGAAAAGGGACCCCATTCAAGGAGAGGCCCCCTTTATCTGTCCACACAGATAAACAGAGTGACGTGGCAGAGAGACTGGAGGTGGGGGGTGTATCTGGCCGCGTTGGACAGAGAAGCCTCTCTGAATTGGGGACCACATGAGTCGTGAGTGGATGACGAATTGGAGGCATCGGTGTTAAGATCTTGGGCAGGAGGATCCCAGGGGAAGATCGTGTGGCTGCCGCTAATGTAAGAAGGAAGAGTGGAGGGAGGTGAGGTTGGAGAGACATGTAGTGCCCCATCATGCGGAGCCCTGTTAGCCAGTGAGGAATTCACACTGTATTTTAAGCAAGAAAGTAAGTCTGAACGGGGGGGGCCGACATGAATGACACAGGTGGCAGGAGTAAAACCTCTTCAGTAATTGCAAAACCCGGTCACTCTTCAACCTCACCCCATTTTCTGCTGTCTGTTCTACCGAAGCCTCAAGAGAAGTGAGTTCCCAAAAGGGGGTGGAACCTCCTCATGTACGTTTCCTGGCACTGCTGAGGTCGCACGCTGTGCATCCTGCCTCGCGCATCGCAGGCTGGTCTCCATTGGCGCGCTGGAAAGAACACGGGCTCTAGCATTCTACATACCTTCCCAGCCCCCTCCTAGCTGTTTGACCTTGGGCAAGTTAAGTAACTTGAATCCTAGTTTCCTGCCCTGTAAAATGGAATCATTATATTTAACTTGAAAATTGGTTGTAAGGAAGAAATGAAATAATGCATGTGTGGCAGAATAACGCTTTTCTTTTGTTTTTTCTTTCCTTGTATATAGGTTTGTAACACAAGAAAATAGCAGATGTTACCTCCAAGGCCCTTCCTGGTCTGGCTTTAAGTTTCCCAAAGCCTGAAGTTCACTTGACATGATGCCAGGTGTCCCAGACACTGTACCAGGGACAGAGTGAGAGAAACGCCTTGAAGAGGCAGTAAGGCAAGGCAGAGAGGGCAGGTTCTCCCAAACTGAAGAGGGCACAGCAGTCTGTGGGTCCTAAGAGAACCCTGTTCCCTCGCAGCAACCAAGGCAGGTTGGAGGGGTGGTGGGGGGGCTTTGAGGGAGGGGAGAAGGTGACCGAGTGCTGCCTCTCTGCAGTCCTGTTCCCAGGGACTAGGGATCCATTCTCACCAAAGAGTCCCCTGCCCCAAGCCTGGAACAGAAGCAGAAGAGCTGCCACTCGGAAAGGACCACACAAGTTAAGACCCAGGCATGCTTGGAATAAGCAGGCTGGACGATGCAGGAAGACAGAAGGGGCTTCTCCAAGGCACTGGAGACTGCCTCGGGGCACAGACCCTTGGAACGACCGTGAGAGAGAGAAGCCCCGATAATGACTGAGATTGAATTTAAACCAGCCTCATGGGTGAAGAGTAGGTTTTGAGTTGGATTTAAGATTTTTTAAAGAAATTTAGTATTTTTTGCACTCTGTGCACTATTTTCTCGATTTTGTGGACCAAGGTTCAAATCCACTACACATGAAAAGCATTTACCTCAAGGCCTGGCACATGGCTTGTGTTCGGTAAGCGGTAGCCAATGTTAAAACCAGCCGCAGAGCAATGGAGGCAAGACTGGATTTGAAACAAACAAAATTCAACTGAATAGAATTCTACAAGGATTTTAATGCCCCTTACGTTTCAGGCAACGTGACAGTATTGGAAATATAAGACACAGCCTTCCCTTGCCCAAGACGACCCGTTAGTGCAAGGGCAGACTTACATGCTATTAACTCTGACACCTGGCAGAATGTGGCATATACTTGATGGGAGAACGGGCAGCATATTGGGTGTGGGATTGGGAAGGCTTCATAGAAGAAGTGACATTTAATCTGGCCCCCAGGAGAACTGGTAGAATTTTGATTGGTTGGCAGAGGAAGTCAGGCCCAGCACAGAGAACAGAAAACAGCTTGTGCAAAGGCGGGGGAAGGGTAAACTGAGAGTTTTTGTGACTTGGTATTGACTATTTTTCAGGAGGAGCTATTAGTAATAGAAATAAGGTTAAAATGGTACGTTGAGGACAGTTTGAAAAGGATCTTTACCCTGTAGGTGATGGAGCACCTATAAGAATTTAAAGCAGGATGAAGGGACAAAGAAAATATGCTACAAGCTTCCAGAAAGGAAAAAAAAAAACAGATCACATACAAAGTTTTATGACTCTGAATATCTTTTGGCTTGTCAGCAATAACACTAGGAACTAAGGAACTATGGAGACATGCCTTAAAAATTCTGATGGAAATGATCTCCAACCTTCAATCTGATACCCATATAAGCTGTCATCAAAGTGTGACAGTAAATACATAAAGTACATTTTATGCCACGCAGAGCATAGAAAGCCTGCCTGGCACACACTCTTTCTCAAGAAGCTAAAAGAGGATTGCCTTGCCAAAATAAGGCAGGCCACAAAAGGGTAATTAATCGGTACAAGAAACAGAAGATCCAACACAGAGGACAGGTAAATCCTGACAAGGATGGAAGAGCGATCCCAGGATGACGGCCATGTCGTCAAGGGCAACTAGTTAAGATTGGAGCAGACGGAAGGTTCTGGGAGAGTTTTATCTGATGATGAAATTGACAGACTACCTGATGTGTCTGGTTGTACTGTAAGGAAATTTGTGATGCGTTAGTGGCAGGTACAAATAAAACCAAGCAAAGGGAAAACTGCAAGGCGTCTAGGGAAGAAGAGCAAGCTTGGTTCACCCTACGGTTTACATGGTCTTGACAATATAAATCCTGGACATTGACTGAGCTGAAGTTACAATGCAGCTATGTGAGAGGAAGTGGGGGTGGGAAAGGGGTATGTATCTTCTCTGAAGATGAAAAAAATCAAAGTCCTCCTCTTCCACAGTGCAAACTGAAGAGATAAAGCCTGAGGCTGAAAAATCTAGATGTAGCAACACAAACATGTTATTTAGAGATGAGAGGCCAATAGCAACAGAATCCCTAAAAACAGTTGAAAATTAGTGCCTGTGAGAGCAAGAAAGAACATGGTAGGAAAGGGGGCTGAAGGTTGGGGTTTGGTAGCAAATCTTGTAGAACTATTTGACTCTTTAAACTGTGAAGATAATGTAATTTTATTAAAAATTAAAATTGAAAGGAGAGTGGATGGGAAGAGGGGATGTGGAGGCAGCCCAGGCAGGACCCTCTCTCAGAGAGCACCACTGGGAGGAGCACATGATGTGGGGAAGGGCTGGTTATAGGACAGAGGGGAGATCTGGTATTCTCATTATATGGGAGAGGTGACATCTTTATTATCTGTAGGGAGGGACCTGCAAAGAGGGAGAGTTTGAATATATAGAAGAGGAGGTGGCTATTGAAGGGCTATTCTTTTTTTTTTTTTTTTCTGAGACAAGGTCTCTCTCTGTCACCCAGGATGGCATGCAATGGCACGAACATAGCTCACTGCAGCCTCAATCCTGGGCTCATGCGATCCTCCTGCCTCAGGCTCCCAAGTAGTTGAGACTACAGGCGAGTGCCACCATGCCTGGCTAATTTTTTCTATTTTTTGTAGTGACAGGCTCACCATGTTGCCCAGGCTGGTCTCGAACTCCCGGCCTCAAGTGATTCTCCTGTCTCAACCTCCCAAAGTGCTGGGATTACAGGCATGAGCCACTTGCGCCCAGCCTGCACATCTATTCTAAAAGGGACTGAAGGGAGTCAGATCACGAATGCAGGAAGACAATTTTTAAAAATGAAACACTACTTTTTGAGACTAGAAGAAAAAACTGTGAGTCTACAGGGAGATACATAAATATAAAAGATTTGGAATTGTTCCTAGAAGTTCTAGTGACTGCTGAGTAATATATGCACCGTGAAAACACACTTCTTTTGGTCAAAAGAAGAGACACTTTTAATGATTTTATTAAGCCTTAAGACAGAGATCAGAGAAACACCTGTCCAGTGATGCAGCAAGTAAACTTTTAAGCAAAAGCTTAGCAGATATCAGAGCATGCTGGGGACAGACATATCTTGGAGTGTCTTCTGAGAACAAAACCGTACCTCTTTCTCTGAAAACAACCCAACCCCTATCCCTAGAGTTGGGTGCTCAGCAGCCATGTTTATCCCATGAGGGAAATTGTTATTTCCTCGTCCCCCTGCTCTAAGTACATAGGGCTGGGATGGACACCTGCCCTACGTTTGGCCCATCACTTGTCACTTATTTTTCTGAGAATTTAAAATTGTGACTGGGAGACACAGTCTCTGTGGGTGGTGAGAGCTGAGAGATATACACTCAGGGGCTGTAGGGTGAATGTGTTTGCTGAAAAGGACAGTCAGTCCACAGAGGGAGAAGAATATGGGTAACATGCAGAGGGGTCTAGAGAACACGGACCATATGGCCCCAAGACAGCACCAGGGGCAGCTCCAGGTCCCCGGGTTTTCCAGTTCCGAGCTCCACTCCCCATGAGCCTGGCTGGCACCCATCTGTGGATTCTGTGCACCAGCCTGTGTCTCTACTGTAAATACCCTCTACTTTGATGTGGTCATTTGAAGAGGGTTTCTGTCACTAGCAAACAAAATCCTTGCCTAAGATGATCCTCCCCCACTTCCATCAGAGTCTTCTGGTGACTGATTTCTGCCAGCTTACTTTCTCTTGGGAAGTCCACTGAGTCCCCATCATTTCTTGGTTTCTTTCTTTTCCAGGACCAAATGGTTACAATTCAAACTCCCATCTTGCCCCTACTTACTTGTATCTTGATCACCTTCGATGCCCTAACAGACCCAGGTTCTCCAGAAAGCCTTCCTGGTCCACCTCAGACCCCAGGGATCCCTCCTGCCAACGATCTCCGATAGCACCAAACTAAGCCAGTGGGTCCCAGTTCCCAGACCATAGCTGAGGTCCAGGATGGCCACAGCGGAATCATCTGGAGCATGTTAAAAACTATAGGCTCCCTGTTACTGCCCCTCCCATCCTTGAGATTCTACTCCAGTTGGTCTGGGTGAGGCCTGCACTTTCGAAAGGCTCCCAAGTGAGTCTTTTGTACATTCCGGTTTGGAAACCACTCCTCTGTACCACTCATTCGGTACTTGAGAAAACCACCTTGTACGGTTCCTTGTCTCTTTGCATGCTTTCAACTTTGTTCACAGTAAACTAAAATCCTCCAGGCCACATATTTAGAGAGTGTTGTGGTGGAGGATCTCTTTTAGACCGCCCTCTTCCCAGACGCCTTGCCTATCAACTCTGCCAGCCTCCTGCCTACTGTGATCGACGCACTGCGGGAAGTAGCCATCTTATCTCAGCCTTGGACCTCTCTGTCATGCATGGGACTCTAGGGAATGTAGAAAAGGGAGATGACATCGTGGCTGGACACCAATGGCCTCTTCATACCATGCAAATCCAGATAGGAGTGGAACCCCATGAGCCTCCCCTCTCCCAGCACCCTTCACAGCTGTCCTTGGTTGAGGGATGCGCAAGGAACAGGATACTCTGCAACCCTTTCAGGGCTAGTCTGAATCCAGGGGCACATTTGATGAAGTCCATGTGAAATGGTAACACACAACGGGCCAAGTGGAGCAAGACACACCTGGAAGGCCTGAGGATGGCTCCAGCCCCAGCGCCACGAGGCCAGGCTTAGTGGTCACTCAGGGTCCCCTCTGCCAACTCCCTGCATCCCTCACGTCCCAGGAGAACTGGCCAACAGCTGGTAAAAGGATAAGGTGCAAACACCATTAAAGAATTCAGTGCTGCTAGCCAGAGCTTTGGGTAGAGCCAGAGTGTGTGTGTGTGTGTGTGTGTGTGTGTGTGTGTGTGTGTGTTGAAGGGGAAGGGGAGCTGGGTGGTGTCCCACAAGTCCTGCCATGAGCGCTGCGGCCAGAAAGGAGGGGGCCTATAGGACAGAGGTGGATGCCGTTGGAAGTCAGCACAGTGGGGATGCGCTAGTAGACCACAGCGCTGAGCACGCAAGGGCTGTCGGAAACCTGCCGGGAATCCACAGGGTCTCCCACAATCCATTTCTCTCAGAGAGGTCATTACCTAAAGTAGCAGAAACCATACGACCAAGGTTGTTCAAGCTCACTATTCCAGGATCCTATCCCTGAGTGCCCACCTCCCCCAAACCTCACTCCCTCACCCCACCTCTGCTTTTCTCTTCCCCGCCCACTGCTGTCTGTATCGCCCTTCGCTGCCCCCTCTGCTCCCCACAGAATCTCTGCTCCTCCACCCCTGTCCTGCTCAGAGTCGTCCACTCTCCGCCCTGGCCTCCCAGACTCCGGGGGCCTCTGTACCTGGAAGCACTGGACAGGCGTGTGCCTGTGATGATGAGGATGGTGCCCACGAGGAAGCCCACCAGGCCCATGGCCAGGCCCAGGGCACAGAGCAGGGTCTCTGTGGCATCTGGCGGCGGGGAAGGCACCTGGGGCTCTGACAGAGAAAGAAAGGGGTGGGGGCAGCAGGGTACAGGGAAGGGTTCTAGAGTAAAGGGACACAAGTCTGGGAGGGGTCTGGGGAGGGGGCTGCATACCCCAGTGCCTGAGGAGCGGCTCGTCCAGGCCCCAGTGCTCCACCCGGCAGTCATAGACATCCTCAGCTGAGGGCACGAAGGTCAGGTAGCAGAACTTGCGGAACAAATGGTCAGGCTGGGAATAGAAGCTGGTCTGGGCCACTCCCTCGGTGACTGTTTGACCATTGCGCAGCCAGGTGATATTGATCACAGGCGGGAAGATGTTGTCCACGATGCAGATGAGGACATTGGGCTGGCCCAGCTCCGCTCGAGACTTGGGGAGCACAGTCACCCTTGGAGGCACTAGGAGGAACAATGCCCTGAGTCCCTTATGGCCAGCCTTGCTAGGACTGGGACTAAGGGACGGTTCCTCCTATCCAGCCATCTGCAGTCAGGAAATGCTCTGGGAGGGTAACCACTGGGGTCGGAGAGGAGGGAAACAGAGTTGGGGCACCAGGAGCTCCTATATCTGACTGGCTCCGGGTGGGAATGCAGGGGAGAGGGGTCATTCCTCAAGAAGGAAGAGGGTGCCGAAGGGGCCTGGAAAGACCCAGAGCCTCCTGGGAGAGAAACGGGCTGAGCACAACAGGCGCGGATTCTGAGAGAGCATGTGGCACAGTGCGTCACAGGCCTGGGAGGCAGGAAGATGCTTCTCTGGATACCCCCTGCCTGACCAGGTGAGCCGAGGGAGGGCCAGGTACCATTGGGGGCTCTGGTGCGGTTGGAACGTTCCACCAGGATGTCCAGGTGGGCTCTGATCATGGCGATGCTGGCCAGCCCACCCTGTGGGTCAAAGTGGGCAAAGTCACCAAACTCGGGCAGACGCCACATGGCCTCGCTTTTCTTCAGGTCCACGGAGAAGAGCTGTTCCCCATCAAATTCATAGGTGAACTGGCCCGAGGCACCATGAGACTGGTAGAAGGCTGGTCCGTAGGAGCCCATGTGGTCAGCTGTATTGGATGAGTTCAGAGTCAGGGAGAGAGAAGAAAATGTATCCATCTCATCCATGATATGGGATATGTTGAATCTCTGAGCCTGGGCTGCATCCCTGGTTCTGTGTGGGACAGAGATCTATTTTGACACCAAGCTGGCCCTTGGAGAGCAGAAGGGAGAGGATGGAGGGGAAAAGGCACACCCCAACACATGGAGACAGCATGGAGACACGGGTGCAGGCTGGCATCTCAGGCTGGGAAGGGGACGGGCTGTCTAAAATCAACCTTGGGACTCCAGAAGTTAAATCTTGGCTGTGATCACCTGCTCTGGCTGTGTTATCGGGCCCTGTGTGTGAGGTGGTGGCCCTGTTGGGTGGGATGAGGAGGAAATGATTGAGGACAGGAGCTTTGTACAGAGATGCCGCATAGGTGCATGTGAGGGGGAACAGGCCACGACTGGCAGCAGTAAGAATTAAGATTTCTGACCCAGAGACCATGGGGATAGAAAAAGGCAGCCCAAGGCATCGCAAGGAGGACAAGAAGTCAGAAGGTCAGGTTCATGTCCCAACTCTTCCATCTCAGAGCATTATGAATGAACATATCTCTTCCATAACTGAAGCCCAGTTTTTTGGAAGTTAGGGGTTGAGTTTCAATCGGTAAGATTCCTGTAGAATTTTCTATGAAGTTATTTGTTCAGCAGTCACTGAGGGACTACTGTGAGGGACCAGCACAGTGCCAGGCAGGGAAATAAAAGAAAAAGATGAACCAGCTGTGGACCCGCACACCAGGAGCTCATGTTAGAGAGGAACAAAGACCGGAAAACACTTAACCACGACCCACCGACATGGCCATAAATACTGCACGAGAGCTGGACTTGAACCGGCACACTCCAGGCCAGGAGGTGGTGAAGAAATCAGGGTGCTGGGCACCGGTGAGGTGGAGGTTCACGTCCCAGAAAGGAGGGAGGAAGGGGGGGAATCTGGACGTGAACAAAGGCTGAATGAAGCACTGGCGCGGCTGGACTGACGGCTCTTATATTTTGGTCCAGGACGGACGTGGCAGAGGTGAGGGGGTTTGGGGGTCTCTGGGTGAAGGAAGTTGCCCACGACCCAGAGAGGGAGACAGACAACCACCCTTTACACTGTCTCCCTCGTGTGACCCAGCTCCCTAAATCTCTGTCTCCCCTCATCCCCTCCTCACCCTCAGCACTCACCCTTGATGGCCCCTGCTTCCTGGGGGCTCAGGAGGGTCGCCAGGGTGTGGACTCCCAGGACCAGGCTGGCTGGGAGGGCCATTGCCCTCTGGTGCTTTAACCGAATAAGTCTTGGTCCCTGTGGGGAGTAGAGGAACAAGGCCAAGGTGAAGAAGAAGAAAACAAGAGTCTAGGATGGGGAGACCCTGCTACTTTCAGCCAATCAGAGACATCCTCTGAGTTAACGCCTCTGTTGCTGGGCAGAGAAGCAGAGAGCCGGGGTGAGAAGGAAGAGTTGGCTGGGCCACGCGCACAGCGCGCACCGCGGGGGCTTGGTCCACAGAGGAAGCGTCCGCGTTGGAGGGCGGGCGGCTGGGGCTCGGACCAGCTGTTACTGCACCCTCCGAGAAGGGACCGGCTGCAGGGAGCGAAAAGGCCGTCAGAGCACCGCACAGCTGAGCTCAAACGAACTTCTCCCTACCGCGATCTGTGACGTAGGGAATCCCACTTTCCCGAAGTTTCTTCAGGCAAACTTGGAGTTAGAAAATGAAATAAATTTTATCAAGAAACTTTAAAAGGGAAATATCGGATACGGAGTAGAATTAAAAAAAAAACCTTAAAACTTTAAATCACTTTCAAAAAATGTTATTTTATTTCCTTGTGTGAGAAGAAACGAGTCACTGCTGGAGACGCGTCGTCTAAAGCGGAGTGCGAGGGCGGAGGCGCCCGGTCGGGCTCAGCCAGGGGCGGGCACCGGGAGGATCTAGTGCGGTGTGAGATACACATAAAGCTGACTGTGTAGGTAAGGAGAAGTGTAACCGAGTATCTGAAGGCCATTTGTCAGAGACCGTCAAATAAGTGGCTTTCAGCTTGGAAGGGATCCAGGCGATCATCGGGGCTGTGGTTCCAAAGCGAATCACCTGCGGAGTTCGTTAAAAATCTGCATTCCGGATCCGGGCAGTGAGGCCGGGGAAAGGTGGCACCCCCTCAACAAGGGTCCCCATTGCCTTTCAGTCGCCTCCGGTCACTCCGATTCAGCCTCGGGGCCTTGAGTCTTGCCGAGAACTGACCGCGGTGGCCGTGAGGCGCAGCGGCGAGGGCGAGGTGACCCGGATGGAGAGGCGAAGGGAGCTGGCGGCGCCCCTGCCACGTCCCGCTCCGTGAAAGCTGCCTCCCATCCCTGCAGGCCCCTTTTGGGTGTTTCTTTGTGTCGGCCTAGGCCCTCTCCATACAGGTCTTTGCCCCTTCCCTCTGTGGGGTGACCACGCTCTTCTTGTCATCCTTCCCGGCCTCAGACCGCAGCCCTGTCACTCCTGGAGGCACAGACTGTGGTTAAGCAGTGCCGGTTATTTGGGACAGCCTGGCAGTGATGTCCGCGTGTAGCAAGATCGTTTTGGAAATAAATAGTCCTAGCTCTGCCACTAGGTCTTCGGCCTTAATGGTCTTAGGGAATTACTGTGCTGCTCAAGTAATGATTTACCTACCTGAAAAACTGGTCAATTCTGTGGTATTGAATATCTTTTGTCTTTAGACATAAAGCATGCGTGTGTAATCTGAAATTTCATGCTTAATTACGTGTATGCCGCATTTTCATTAGATAAAGAGTTGTTAGAGTAAAACCATTTTCATTATAGTGGCAAGATTTCTTGATCCAGGTGGCACAAATTTCAATTTATTTAAGATAACCTCTCCCCCATCCAAAATAGTAGACAAAATATTGACAGCACAGTTAATAAAGATATTTGTAATTTGGGGCTAGGTATTTGGGTTCAAATCATATGTCTTCACTCTGTGATTTCTAAATTCCATTTGTAACAATTACTTGTCTGGCTTCCCAAAATGATTCCATTTTATATGTATATATTAACCAACATATTGATTATCTTACATACCTCTTTTCAAAAAGGCTCTGATGTGACTTGAACTGTAAATGTTAAATTTTAATAAAATAATATGTGGAGGTTGTTACTCTAGCCAGGCCACTCTCTTGACTGTGTTGTATTTATTTTTGCAGCTGGGCATTGAAACCTGGTATATTTTATGTCAATAAGATATTAGAGAATCGGTTTACGGGAATTGCACCGGAGATCGGGGGTCCTAGTACACCGCAAACATGTCTATTATGTCCTATAACGGAGGGGCCATCATGGCCATGAAGGGGAAAAACTGTGTGGCCATCGCTGCAGACAGGCGCTTCGGGATCCAGGCCCAGATGGTGACCACGGACTTTCAGAAGATCTTTCCCATGGGTGACCATTTGTACATCGGTCTGGCCGGACTCGCCACTGATGTCCAGACAGTTGCCCAGCGCCTCAAGTTCCGGCTCAACCTGTATGAGTTGAAGGAAGGTCGGCAGATCAAACCTCATACCCTGATGAGTATGGTGGCCAAGCTCTTGTATGAGAAACAGTTTGGCCCCTACTACACTGAGCCAGTCATTGCTGGGTTGGACCTGAAGACCTTTAAGCCCTTCATTTGCTCTCTAGACCTCATCGGCTGCCCCATGGTGACTGATGACTTTGTGGTCAGTGGCACCTGCGCCGAACAAATGTACGGGATGTGCGAGTCCCTCTGGGAGCCCAACATGGATCCAGAACACCTGTTTGAAACCATCTCCCAAGCCATGCTGAATGCTGTGGACCGGGATGCAGTG